AACTTTTCCATGTAATTTTCATTTCCATTTACAGGAAATTACATAAAAGCCCCCGTGTGTACACACACACACACACACACACACACACACACACACACACACACACACACACACACACACACACACACACACACACACACACACACACACACACACACACAACACAAAACAAACACACAAGCACACGCACAAACACACACACAAACACACACACACACGGACAGAAATATTGGAGTAGACAGAAAGGCAGTTTCAAAAAACAAAGCTGGTCAGCAGACCTCACACTAAATGGAGAGCACACGCAGAAAATTCGAGAAAAAATATCATGAGTTTCTGCTGATATAACTACCCCGAACCTTAGTCGTTATCCTTGCGTCAGACACATCCCCGGTGTTAATATTTACACGTAAATAAAAAATCTAAAAACATGTGGCAACAAAACTTGAACTGTGAACTTTAACCTTGTGCAGTACAGTTGATATTCAGAATGGGCCAGTTGTTATCGCTAAACGGGTGTGAATGCCAAACATCCACGTTCATTTCGCCAACACGCAGCCCAGATGTTGCATGGAACGCGAATGCAGAAGAGAAGGATGTTTCAGACCTGGTTTGACCTATTCTCGATGTTGCAAGTTGCATTTCGCACAAAAAGGAGAGGGATAGGAATCTATAACAGTCATGTTTTTCAATACACTGAGCATGATGCAAAATTGATAGACTTTATGCAGTGCATATTCAGAGTTACTGTAATGTTAATTGTGATTTTATATTGTGTTATGGGGAAATGATGACGTTAACTTTCCAATTTTCATATTCTTTGACTTAATAATTTAGTTATAATGTGTTGTAATGCATTGGCTTTTCATGTTCAGGGGCGATATACCTACATATGGGTATATATCAGTAATTAACTGGAAGATTGATAATTAAACAGACAGGCAGACAGACAGACATAAACAGACACAGACAGACAGATAAGCAACCAGAGACAGGTAGATAGAATGTTAGAATAAAATGCACAAATGCGCCGTGAGTTACACCATTTATCTAAACAATTCTTCTCTTTGGGTCCCATTAACGCCTTAGATGAAGGGAACATTAAGTATTCCGTGCAGCTTCTTCCCTCTGGAACAAAATACATTATTACAAAACCATTTCCTTGAAATTGTACGCGTAGGTCTTAAAACTGTCTTCATGAGTTATACGTGTGTCCTTAATGTTATACTGTGTGTGTGTACTTACATTTATACATGTTTACATATATACACATGCAGATATATTATTCATACGGTATGTATAAACTTGTTGTTATTATATTTATCTGTGGTGGTAACCTGAGAAAAATATTCTTTAGTTTGCAGGACTTTTCTGCCCTTGTATTCATTATGTGTTTTGTCTATTTTTCTTGTATCTACCCTTTTCCTAATGTATATCCTGCTCGTTGTATTTCCCTCACAGTTTTATAATAAATTCGCCTTGTTCTCAGAGAAGGACGTCATTTTTGACCCAAAGCCTCCAGCTATGTAAGATTAAACAGCTAGAACTATAATGCTATAAATATTGTTTTTCTCTCACCATACAAACAATAAAGCACAACCAGTGATTGATTTGAGTCAATTTTTGCTTAGTAAGATCGTGAATAAAATGACAAATAGGAAGATAAAAAAAAAATAGTCGAAAACGAGCGTAAACAACTAACAAAATCCTTATTTCCACAGTTAAAAAATTCGGCAGCAAACGTCCTGCGTGAGACGTGGCTAATATACAAACACACCAAACTTGTCAAAAAGGTTAACCACGGTCGAGTCAGGACGCACCAGCGGAAGTTCCTGTTGGCCATTTACGCGTAAGTTTTTTCAATGTTCTTGGTAAATGATACAGGTTCAACCTCAGAAGTACGGCAATCATTGGTCCGGCAGCTTCGATAGTTCGGGAAATTGATCTTAATATGTCGATCATAGAATGGCTATCTGTGTCACTATCATCATATTGTTTATGATTATAACAGGTGACTTGCAACCGTGGATCTTGCTATAGTGTCCTGAATTACTGATATTTTACTGCTAGATATGCCATTTGAAATACTTTTAAGCAGCACAAATTGTTAACGAAGAGTAACATATCACACATAGTATTTATTTTTACAGTATATGTCAAAAGTGATTAAATAAAAGATAGTTTGCTTCCGTTAGCTTCCAATCTTCCCGGAATAATGAGGTTGAGCTGGTAGTAATATTGACCATTCATGTGTCTTAACTGTAATAGTAATGACCTTGTTAATATATTTTTTTCTTTTCTGCTTAACTCTTATTCTATCAACTACATTATGTATGCATGTATAAGTATATATTCAGTCTTACTGATGAAGCGATGTGTGTATATACATACATATATATATATATACATATATATATATATATATATATATATATATATATATATATGTATATATATATATATATATATATATATATATATATATATATATATATATATATATATATATATATATATATATATATATATATATATGTATATATACATACATATATACACACATATATATATATATATATATATATATATATATATATATATATATATACATAAGTGTATATACATACATACATCTCTCTCTCTCTCTCTCAGCCTCTCTCTCTCTCTCTCTCTCTCTCTCTATATATATATATATATATATATATATATATATATATATATATATATTTAAAACATCTCAAATTTTCGGTGTAATGTTTGTGACCATTTTTCCCCTTTTCCCCTCAGGCTACGGAAGGTGAAAATGGACCAGCGGAAATTAATGGACAACGCCAACACCATCACTGATATGGCAAAGGTAGGAAGAAGGAAGAGGAGGAGGAGGAGGAGGAGAGGGGGAAGGTGTGACAGAGAGGGCGAAGGATACAAGGAAGAGGGAAAAAGGTGGGGGGGGGGGGGGGGGAGGAGAGAGAGAAGGAAGAAGGGAGAGGTTTGAGAGAGATGGCTAATTATGTAAGAAAGAGGGTGAGAGAGAAGGAGAGAGAGAGAGAGAGAGAGAGAGAGAGAGAGAGAGAGAGAGAGAGAGAGAGAGAGAGAGAGAGAGAGAGAGGATGCAACCAGGGGAGGAAGTGATATTATTGTTATAGGCGTGGGTAGAGAAAGACAGATAGAGAGAGAGAGAGAGAGAGAGAGAGAGAGAGAGAGAGAGAGAGAGAGAGAGAGAAAGAAAGAAAGAAAGAGAGAGAGAGAGAGAGAGAGAGGGGGGGGGAGAGGAGGGGAATTAATTCAGTAATGGTATTAATGATAAGTTAATGTTTGTGATAAAACACAAAAAAGTGGAATTTAAGTGTAATGTCACTAGAAATAATTGCAAAATAAGCAATTTTGTTGCCAGTTTCTTAATTCTGTACAATTGCACAAAATATCAACTTTAAAGCACTAGGCTGCCATATTTAGTGTCTACTATCTTATTATTATCAGTGAAGGGTGTACCCTTGTCTGTCCCTTGCCCCTGAGGCGCCCTCTAACCCGCCCTGTCCACCCGCAGACGCAGAACACCGTGTACGAGCTGGTGTCCGACATGAGTGGGCGTCAGGACGTCCTGGACGAGCGCGTGACGACGATGGAGGACAAGCTCACGCAGATCCAGGAGTCGCTGGACTCGCTCCCCGACGTCCTGGCTCGGTGCCTGCAGAAGCACCAGGAGCTCCTTGATCAAAGGCGAGTCGCCGCCCCCTCCTCCAACTCCCTCCACCCTGACATGGCAGCCCGGCCGGGGGGCTACCCGGCGCTCACGGGCAGCCAGTCCCCGCGGGGCTCGCCCGTCTGGCAGCAGCAGCAGCAACAGCAGCCTCAACAACCGCAAGGAAACGCACCTCCAATATTCCCCCGGGCCAGTCTGAGCCCGACCTTGCAATCAGGGGAGCGGTCGCCCCCCGCGCCGGCGTCGCTCAGCGGGCAGTCGCTGCCCAAGTCGGAGGCGTGAAGCTAAGCCGTCCAACCGCGGGCAACAGCAGAAGTAAAAGTAGCAACCACAGCTGTTTGTAGGCTACTGTTGATGTCCGCGCCTTACACGCTTCTACACTCGCCAACACCCCAGTACGTCTCACATCTCTCTCCTGCTGCCCTCATCTCCTGCCACGGCGGGCCGAGGCGCTCGCGGCCTCTGGGACTCGCCGGGCGCCGCACTCTCCAGGTCGACACTTCACCGCTCTCCCTCATCACTCAGTGCATAATGTGATATTAGACAAGACACGGCTGTAGGGAGGATCACCTCTGCCGGTCGGGTACAGCAGTTCGAGTGAGACTCCCGGCGTATAGTTATAAACTTCTACTGATATTAAACATTTCCTTGAACATTCTAACGGCACTTTAGAAAGGGTGTGTTAACTCTGTGTAGCATGATTATGGATGGTAATGCATCTACAAGGAAAGGACTAAACCTGTTCAAAGGTTTCGATACTCCTTTGCAAATATGGTGCTCTTTGGGAAGTTATAAGGCTCTGACAGTATTCTCCGCTCTCTGGCAAGTTTTGACACGAAGCTGTTGAGATGCTTCTGTGAGGGTGACAGATGCTACCTTGACTGGCTCTCTGCCGCCAGTGGAATGAAAATAAAGCCCAGGTCAGAGGACAGAGTTATTCAAGAACATCAAAATGGCAGATGGTGACCTGAAATGGCCCAAGGAAGTCAGCGACCCAGGGGGAACTTGACGGGCCGCAGGGGACACACACACACACACCCGCACGTCACCCCAAGTTGATCGTTCTTGAATAATCTGCGTAGAAGACCAAGTTTTCCCTGGCACTGCGGTGGTGGTCCTCAAGGCTGAAGTCCCAGGTGGACCTCCACACAAAACTCAAGAGAGCCACCACCCAATGGAGGAATTACTTGGGTCTTGCTAGACGATAGGTATCAGCGCTTATTAGTCAGGTGGACCGGGTGACGGCCTCCGTTTGGTAGGGAAGGAGGGGTTACCGTGCCTGTTACACAGAATAATACAC